CTGGTCTTCAGCGCAAAGCCCTGAAGCACTGCATCAATAAAGCTAATGGCTGTAGTTGCCCCACCAGAAGGGATGCACAGAGCGAAAACATGAGGTGTCCCAAAGAATCGCCAAGGCGGGCAGCCTGTGCTCCACCGTTTTAAGCTTTACAGAGGAAGTCATCTGTAACACAAAGATGGAGCCCACAAGCACCAAATACCTCAACGGAAAGCTTCATCTGGTGTCACTATGAAAGAAACGGGAGGTTCAACTGCTTCCCGTTGAACCTCCTGTCTTGACCAACTCAAGCATAGCTGCCAACACCCAACAACTGTGGAGAGGCATGAGATAGAGCCTGACACACTAAATACACTCTGAGATGAAAAGCGTGAGCCTGACTCCGAAGCATGAGGTGACCGTGCCGCCTCCTCACTCCCACAGTGAGGGGCAGAGGCAGTGAAAGACAGTACACCCTCCTCCACAGACGACTCAGGGACGGTGTGGGAGAGAAGCATCCAGCTGGGATGCCTGAAAAAAGGGTTTCACTTCTGCCAGTTCTGTAGACAACTGCTCAACACTCGTGAAAAAGCCTCGATCAGACTTAGCTCAACGGTACATGGAGCGTCTAGGCGTGGCCACCTGCCCAGAAGAAGCTGTGAGTTGAGAGAAGAGGCAATAATGCTGTTGTCAAAAACAAACAGCAGAGTATCTTGAGGGAAGATCAACCCATTACAGCGCCAAGGAGGGCGACACATCGATAATCAAGCCAAAAGGGAATCAGGCGTCCAACAACATGATCCAAGATAAACAAGGCTGATGTCATCCAAAATGAACCGCATGAGAGAAGAGGAACAGAACCTGGGATGACATCAGGCTGCACAGCTTCAGATTGATCATCCGATATGTCACAGGTGTGACTCTGTTGATATTACAGCTTGAACGGCGCATGAGAAAAGGGAACATTCACTGCTTTCGGGTCTACGGCTGCAGAACTCACCCAGAGGTCCAGGTCCAGGTTGAGGAGCCGAGCAGGGCCGTCCGTCAGACCGTCCCCCTGCTGGTGGCAGAAGCAGCACCTACGCTGGTCTCTAGGCAGCGGGTCGGGACGCAGGCACGCTCCAAACTCCTTCAGAAGCTCATCCACTTCCTCTTCTGTCGGAATGGCACCCATCTTGTTAGCAACACGGGAACCCCTAAGATGGATACAAAGGGAATAACGAGGATGAGGGACCCGGACAGATCCAACAGGAACAGAATCAGAGCATTCCCTGCAGTCACCAACATGGCCTACACCTCCAACGCTTACCTGTTGAGAGTGATGCTGAAGCTCCAGCGTCTCCACCGAGAAATCTTCATCTTCTTCGAGCTTTGAGGACACAGAGAGTCATCACCTGACACAGTCCGTGGACGGGGCTTTAGCTTGACCTTCACCTGCCAAACAGAGAGAAGTATCCATGAGCTACCTGGTGGCAGGGAACCTGGAGGCTTAAACTGGGGATCAGTCTCACCTTGAGGCTGTCAGGGCGGGGCCTAGTCTCCATGGTAATAGCAGAGGCAGGTGGAAAGGCAAGTGGTGGTGAGGAGGAGGAAGGAGAGCAGGAGGAAGAGTCGATGCGTGGGAGAGAATGGACAGCAATGGGGGACATGTTGTTGGCGTACTGGTGCCGTGTTCTGCTGACAGGAGGAGTCGAGCCAGAACCAGCCAGAAGCACCGGCACCGCAGGCTGAAGACACAGACAGACCAGTGCATGATGGGAATCGCAGAGCGTAAAGAGGCTGGTTAGCAGAAACCTAACAGGCTGGGTTACCTTGGGTCTTGCAGAGCGGTTCTGCTGCTCTGACTCGAATAGAGCGGAGCAGGTTGGACTGCAAAACACCAAACCGGGTACGTCTCTGGACTCACCTTCCTGCAAGACACACTTCCTGTCACTTCCTGTCTCTGCCACTCCATCGAACTCACTCCGCCCAGGCTCACCTGTCTGCAGTGAACTCCGTTAACCAGCAGCCTTTTGCAGCGGCTGCAGCAGCGTGGCGAGTTTCTGGCAGCAGGTGGCGCTCTCTGCACTCTAGATGCTGCTGAACCCTAAGGACACATGGAGAGGTCAGCAAGCAACCCTACCCTAACCTGGTGGACTAAAACCACGAAGGAACACGAACCTGCAACATCGGCACACGCACTCCTGCCAGCAGGGCCAGGTTGCTCCGCTCTAGCGCCGGCGCTTGGCTCAGCTGGTAGTTGATGGGGCCGGGTACCCTGAGGAGCGCCGCCACCGCCGCCATCACACCCGGGACATTCTGCGAACGGACTCGGGTTAAACGGAGCCGCTCTGATCAAACTGGCCACTCGCACTGCTGCACACTGACCTGAGAGGCGGCCGGGTTCAGAGTGATCGCTATGGTAACCAGGTCTGTGCTGGAGCAGGTGGATTGCACTTGGAGGTGTGGTTCTGCCTTCACTTCCTGTTTCACTGAAAAGCCTGAAAACAGATGGAAGGGCTAGTCAACAGGTATGGAACACAATAACTCAGGTAAGTAGCTTCAGATAGCTGACCTTTGCCCCAGGTGGAGGGAATGATGGGTAATGTAGGTGATGGGCAGGGCGAGGGCTGCTCCAGCTTGATGAAAGACAGGTCAGGGTACCTGCTGACCTCCATGTCCACCACGCTCTCTGGAGACGAGGACGGGACAAACCCCTCCGGACTGTGGCACTCCAACGACTCCTGGATCCTGGGAAAACCCACGAAGAAGAAAACCACTCAGTGCATGAGCGTGTTGCACAAGTAGAGAACTCTGAGTGGGGCGGGTCTTACCTGAGCTCCTCCTGGTTGTTGTGGGGAGGCGTTGGCAGGGATGCAGGGACATCTACGGTCTTGGAGGCATGGTTTAGATTGAGAAGCTCATCCTCTTTGTGCTTCAGAGTTGGCAACCCTGTCAATGAGGTGAAAACAGGGAGTTGTCAGTGCAGGTAAAGTCTTTTGCATCCTAACAGAGCACCTGAAGCTCACCTTCCTGCTCGCTCAGTTCCTTCCTGGTCAGCTCCTCCATCGTGGCAAAGCCGTTCACCATCTTCTGTCTGCTTACAGGTGGAGGTGTGGGGGGCAGAGATGCCGGAGGTGTGGGGGGGTTACTGAGGTTGTTCTGAAGGAGACGCAGCACATGAGTGGAGAGCAGGAGCAGTGTGGTGTCAGTGTGGGGCGCTGCAGCGTACCTTGTAGATGATTTGGGAGTAGAAGTCTGAGACGCCATCCAAAGAGGCATTCCCAAAGGAGCCTCTCAGCAGGGAGTCTCTACCTATAGAGGAGCTGCCGCATGGGGGGAAGAGGCTCAGGTCTACACCCAGGATGGGCTCCATGAGTGGCAGCACTGACAGCTGAGGACACGACCGGTAGAAGGTCAGCAGGGAAACGGCATTAATCGAGTCAGGAGGATCAGGAAGGAGGCGGGGCTCTACCTGACTCAGCTGGGTCATCAGTGAGTCAGAGGAGGAGCTCTTCTCTTCATCGTCCTCCTCTTTCCTCCTCCTCTTGGACTTGGATGGAGCTCTGTCTTTGTCGGGTCGACTCAATCTCCTGCTGCGCTTAATTTTCTTTGGACCGTCCACCAGTGGCACCTGGAGGAGGCAAAAAACCTCAGCACCACACACAACATTCAGAGGACTTGTTATATCTGACCTGCCACTGATTACTTACCATGTTGCCATGGAAACCTGGTTCATCTTCCTCGGATCGCACGCCGTCATTGGACAGCTGGCAGTGCGCAGCTGGCCTGGAGGGAGTCGTCATCGTTACGGGCGACGTTTTGTCCCTCAGAAGGTGTCGGAGCAGCTCCTTCCCTCCATCTCCCCCGTGAGAGGTGGGGGAGGAGAAGCAGTCTTCCCCAGCCTCCTCTACCTTCACAGGGATCCCCTGGCAGGGCTGCGCCTCCATCAGCTCCTCCTGCAGGCGTGATACCCATTAGGTAAATGGTTTATCAAGTTCAAGGACTCCACTTTTCCCTACAAGCAGAAGGACTGCAGTTACTGACCTTGACTTCCAGGCTGCCCCCAGACACAGGGCCTCTGTGGCCCTCCACGCTGCTGCCTCTCTGCTGCCTCTCTGCGTCAGGTGAAGAAGCCAGGCCAGAGAAGCCAGTGTCCAGTTGGTGGCTGGGAGTGGAGCAGGACTTGTCTGAGACAGCCGGGGTGGGTGGAGCTGTGATGTCAGAGTGTGGCGACAGAGGAGTTCTGGCTCCTTCCTCAGCTCTGTTCGATCTCCTGTTCTTTGGTTTGTCGTCAGGGATGATATCAGCGAGGGAGGCTAGGCCTCCAGAAGAGGAATGGGGGAGTGGGGTCAGCGGTGAAGACGAGGAGGAGTCGTGTCCCAACAGGTGAGGACTGATCCCCGCTGGACGCAGCAGTCCCAACATCCTGGGCCTGAACTGGAGGCTGCCTCGCTCTGTGGCAACATCAGGATGGAGAGCTGCGGTGGGGGCGGCCCTGGGGGGCAGGGAACCTCCTGGGAAGCCCTGGTGGAGGTTGGCGCCCCCTGTACGCCCCTGGACCTGATGCCTGGAGGCCGTGGAGGAAGGAAGGAAGTCCAGTCCAGGTTCGGAGCTGCAGAATGCTCCCTGGGACAGATGGTCCTCGCTGCTGACCGGTCCAGCTCCTCCACCAGGAACCGGTCCGCGTTTCCCAGGAACACCGGCTGCTCCGGACCCGCAGCGGTCCTGCTGGTCCAGACTCCACTGCAGAGTGTGCCGACGCTCCACCTGAGAAGAAACCAACACAGAAAACAGGAAGTGAAACTAAACAATATAAAGACAACTTTTGAACTGCTGCTTCTCCGGTTCTGGTTGGTTTATGCAAGAGATTAAATTGGGCTGAAAAAAAATCCAACCCAACTAGACTATCAAGAACATAATTTCAATCTGACTTGGTCCGATTATCAGCATTGGGAATAGATCTAAACTCTAGTTTGTTCCCAGAGAGGGACTAAAGTTGTATCCAACATAACCACAGTTCACAGAAACAGCACCAGGTGGTTCGATTTGGGGTAAAAAGTCACCTTGTGGGTTAGAACAGTGAAAGCTATGCAGACAGAAGACCCAAACTACAAAGTCCTGAACGGAAAAAAGGCTGCAGTTCAAAGGTGATCAGTACACTCGTGTTCTCAGGTTCTCCTGACTGAAACCCTCTCATATTCAAGATGTGTTGAAAGATCCTCATGTTCTTATTATCAAAGGTCAGGTTCCTCTATATGCCACTAACTGGTAAGTCGCCACAGCAAAATAAAGGCCACAGCTTCACAATAAAGTTAGTTCAATATGTTGAACAATGTAAGGCATATGAGACATATGTAGAATATATTCACAC